AAGGAATGTAATTGAAGTCAGAAAGGTTTTACTTAAAAAGGTCATTATGTTGATGGGGGGACAGGGGAATGGAGGTAGACACCAGGGAAGTCCAAATATAAGCAGCCTGAACTTCAGTGTTAATATACTCAACTGCAGCCAAATGTAACTGGCTTTTCAGAGCACCTTTTTGGGTAGCATGATTCTGTGATGTCTGTTTTTTTGGTGGCTTCTGTGGAAGGGTTTTCATTACATCAAATCTGATTATTATGTGTGTGTGTACAGTAAGTAACCACTTTCCCGCTGCCCTATAGTAGAACTACTACTACAGTGCGGCAAGGCTGCGCAAAACCACGTATATATATGCGATTTGCATTTCCAGGTAGGGGGCGTTTGCCGCCCTACCTGCACCGCCATTGGCGGCTAGGGATGTCAATCACTGGGTCCCGACTGATGATTCCCCCGCCAGCAACTGGTAATAGTCAGGCAAAGCTGACAGGGGAGAGACCTGTGTGTAAACAACACGTCTCTCCTGCCAGCAAGGACATGCTGCTGTGTATTTCTCAGCATATCTCCCTAGTAAAACACACAGCACATCATGTAAAACAGCACACAGTTAACCTTTTGATTGACCCAGATTGTAACCCCTTCCCATTGTCAGTACAGTGTCAGTGCTTTATATTAGCACTGATCACTGTACTAGTGTCATTGGATGTCAGTGGCAGTTACAGTGGGACTGCAGCAGGCATTCTGACACGAAGTCGCTGATCGCCACCATTACTAGTATAGAACAAAAAAAAATTCCAGTATATATACCGCCATTTGTAGACACTATAACTTTCACGTAAACCAATTAATTTACATTTATTGGGGTGTTTTTTTTTTTTTCTTAGCAAAGACGTAGCAGAATACATTTTGGCCTAAATTTATGAAGAAATTTGATTTTTTTTGCTGGATGTTTTATAGCAAAAAGTAAAAAATATTGTATTTTTTTTAAATTGTCGATTTATTTTTTTGCATTATAAACAAAAAAAGACCGACAGGTGATCAAATACCACCGAAAGAAAGCTCTATTTGTGGGTAAAAAAGGGCCATAAACATAATTTATGTACAGCGCTGCATGACCACGCAATTGTCAGTTAAAGTAACAATGCAGTATTGCATAAAATGGCCTGGTCAGGGGGCAAATCCTTTGGAGGGAAAGTGGTTAATAACATTTTCTGTGGGGTGAGGGAGTTACTGTTATTGCAAGATTACGCAGTTCTCCTCAGGGCTATACATGATGGCATTATATGGTTTACGTATATAGTTTTATTGTATAGAAATGTTTTGATTATCATATAGAAAGAGGAGGCAACAACATAGGCCAGGCACATGTGAAGGCAGAACAATTCGATATTAAAAAGCTGGAAGTAACATAGTTCATTAAAATAATAAAAACAAGTTTATTATGTACATTGAAACATTTAAAAAACTGAATTCAAAACCAAAAATGAAAAAAGTCCCCTGAATATTTCAGAATTCAGTTCCATTGCATAGAATCCTTTTTTTTTTTTTTTTTTAAAAAAAAAAAAAAAAACCTTCAGTCTCAGTCAGGACTTGGAATGGAGTGTCCACAAAATGAGATAACAGCAGCAACAATATTTCAGAGACAAAACTCATCTCTCCCCAAATCGAAAAAAAAAACCCCAAACATGTATCACTGTCAGCGAGGCACAAGACCCTGCCGGTACATCCAACATGGTGAATCGACAGGACACAGTAATAGTGGCTCTAGATTTCTCACTTCAGACTGCGGCTAAACTCACGGCACCATGGCTTTAAAATAGTCAATCCAGAATCACAGCACATGTGGAGTGTGTGACATAAAAAGAAAAAAAAAATGCTAAAAACATTCCAAACCATAAACTGTCTCTTCTTTTAAAAAAATAAATCAATGGGTAAAAATGTTGCACTTTCACAGTGTTACAGTCCAGTATTCTGCTTAATCCAGTCCCTCATTGCGGTCACTTTGGTGTAAACACCCGGTTTATTCCTGCGAGCACAGCCTTCTCCCCAGCTGACGACCCCAGCCAAATAAATCTTCCCGTTCGACTCCACGCTGGACAGTGGACCTCCGGAGTCACCCTACAAAAGACCAAGCACCATATTTTATTGTACTTCCGTTAAAGTGACCCCCCCCCACAATATTGACATTGAGTGTGGATTGCTTTTCAGAGGTGTGTTAGTTCGTGCTGCATGTATAAACAAACCCTTAATGTTACGATAAGCCTGAAAAATCACATAATAACCAAACTATATCTATACTAACACTAGTTGTTTTGAAATTGGAGAAAAGTTTATTGCTCTGTTTTCTATATTTGTACTTTAAAATATATAGCAAATTACTCTTAGGAATAAACAAACCATGTTTGTCGAAGAAAATGATCTATATATTTATTGTTAATATTTACATTTACTATTATACAGGATTTATAATATAGTGCCAGGAGTTTGCATAGACTTTATTGTAATTATACTGTCTCCCTTTTTTTTTATAAACTCCAAAACAAGAAGGTTAGAAGCACCCTGCTGTAATAAAGTTATTGCCAAATGAACAGGCCCACAGCTGAAATATGAACGAGGCTCTAGAGCAGGGGTAGTGAATTAAAATTCATGGAGGTCCAGTCAGTAAAAGATTCTTCCAACAGAGGTCCGGATCGCATGTTTGTGCCATGATTCAGATCCTTCACATCACAATCCCCATCTCCTCTTAGGTTCACATCTCTTTGGCTGGAGAAACGGTTGTGCAATTTAACATGTTCCCAACCCACAAAAAATGTGCTGTACTTCATCAGATGTGCGGGGGTGCCATTAATTCTTAAATGCACCCCCACACATTGCCACCTATGGCACATTTTCACACACACCAAGCAGCTTGGTGCAGCACAATTTTAAAAGGTGGTTCAGAAACGACTTGCCTGTCTTTCTTTAGGGTAGGGCAGCACAACCTGTGATGCGTGCATTATTGTTATTATACAGGATTTATGTAGCGCCAACAGTTTGCTCAGCTCTTTACAATATAACGGGAGACAATACAGCAACAATACAGTTCAATACAAGAGGGATAGGAGGGCCCTGCTCCTTGGAGCTTACAATCTAAGAGGGAGGGGCTAGTGGTACAAAAGGTAATAACTGTGGGGGATGGACTGGTAGGAGGAGTAGAAGATTCAGTTATTAGCTGAAGGTAGGATAGGCTTCCCTGAAGAGATAGGTTTTCAGAGATCGCCTAAAAGTGGGCAGAGTAGGCAATAGTCTGATAGATTGGGGTAGAGAGTTCAAGAGGATGGGGGAGGCTCTGGAGAAGTCTTGGAGACGAGCATGGGAAGAGGAGACGAGGGAGCTAGAGAGCAGGAGAGGACGGTTTGGGTGATATTTGGAGACAACATTGGTGATGTAATTCTCTTTACATCACAGTTCCCTCCCTTTCACATCAAAATCCCTCTTCATATTACTGTCCTTCACTCCCCCTCACATTACTGTCCTCAGCCCCCCCCCTTCCACTCATATTACTGTCCTCCACTCCCCCTCACACCTCACATTACTGTCCTCCACTCCCCCTCACACCTCACATTACTGTCCTCCACTCCCCCTCACACCTCACATTACTGTCCTCCACTCCCCCTCACACCTCACATTACTGTCCTCCACTCCCCCTTACACCTCACATTACTGTCCTCAGCGCCCCCCCCCTTCCACTCACATTACTGTCCTCCACTCCCCCTCACACCTCACATTACTGTCCTCCACTCCCCCTCACACCTCACATTACTGTCCTCCACTCCCCCTCACATTACTGTCCTCAGCGCCCCCCCCTTCCACTCACATTACTGTCCTAAGCCCCCCCCCCCCCCTCATATTACTGACCTCAGCCTCCCAGTACTGCCCTCAATCCCCCCCATATTACTGACCTCAGCCCCCCCACTCACATTACTGTCATCAGCCCCACATTAATGTCCTCAGGCCCCCCCTCACATTACTGTCCTCAGCCCCTGCACTCATATTACTACTCGCAATCTCCCCCTCACATTACTTTCCTCAGGGCCCCCCCATTACTTTCCTCAGCTCCCCCCCATTACTTTCCTCAGCTCCCCCCCATTACTTTCCTCAGCTCCCCCCCATTACTTTCCTCAGCTCCCCCCCATTACTTTCCTCAGCTCCCCCCCATTACTTTCCTCAGCTCCCCCCCATTACTTTCCTCAGCTCCCCCCCATTACTTTCCTCAGCTCCCCCCCATTACTTTCCTCAGCTCCCCCCCATTACTTTCCTCCGCTCCCCCCCTTACATTACAGTTCTCAACCCCCCTTATCTTTAGGGCTCCCATAATTGTCCTCAGCCCTCCACTGTTCTGTCCCCCCATTACGGTCTTAAACAGCCTTACTTCACATTTACCCCTCCCCCTCCCTCCAGTCCTACCTTACACAGGAGAGCGAGAGGCACACAAAGTCTGGACAGAGGCCGGGTGCTGCAAGCTGGTGATAGGTTGCTAGGACCGACGTAGCAACCAATCAGCTGCCTGATTACTGAGGAAGCAAACCCCCTATGCTGAGCTGTCTTTCCTCCTGTTGTAGGCTACAAGGATGACAGCGGTAATGGCAGCAGAGTGCAACTGGCTTCTAAATGGTGGGACTGCGGCGGTCCAGGCATGAAAGCGAGTCGGTCCGCCATTTAGTGATGCCTGCTCTAGAGCTTGACTGATTAAACATATTCATTCCATTACGGAACAGAGATAGGTTAACAGCTCTGGAAAATTTCAAAACCCGATCTTGTCCCCAAGATCTCCATATCATGATAAAACAAGGTCTAGTTCCTCTTTGTTATTGCTCATATTGTAAACTGTCGATTGAACAGATACCCAACAATAGCTGTAGGATTACACAAGAGCTCACCTGACACGCGTCGATTCCGCCACTGAGGTACCCAGCGCAGATCATACGTTCAGTTAGTTGGTCTTCCAGCAATTTATTACATTCTGTCTGATTGATTATTCGTATCTCAGCTTTCTGTAGTACAGTGGCACCAGTACCTGTGCAGATTCAGAAGGTTGGGGTCAATCATCTTTACTCATGATGTTCCTTATCAGTGAAGACAAATACCAACAGAAGACCAAAATTTTGGTCTTCACAACTCCCATCTCTACTGCAACTCATTAAAATTTAATTCAGATTTCTTACAGCTGACACTGAAAGAACCACTTAAAGCGGTAATAAACCCTAACGAGATGTACTATCATGCAGCTTACCATTTCTTAGATGTGGCAACTGCATTTGTTTTCCTTTTCTTTTCTCTTTATTTTCACCTAGTAACCCAGCCAGCAAATCGTATTTTCATCTTATTTAGAAGATCAAGCTGGCCAGCAAATGTGGCAGTTCGAGGGTTGAAACAAACCATTTAAGGCTGCAAAACCTTTACCCACATTGTAGAAAAACCTGTTGCTGTAACTGCTTAAAAATGTTGCTGGAGTTCAGCTTTAACGTGTTAGTTAAATTCATACAAATGTGCTAGAGCATCCAACACTACCCTCTCCCAAGATTGACAATGCTGCTGTCTAAAGGGGTCCCCATTGCTCCTCCAATGGAGTAGAGACACCTAAAAACAGGAAGTGTATTGCTGGCCAGATTACCAGGAGAAAAAATATAGGAAAAAGCCTTAAAAGTAAAACTACTGCTGCCATCACAATCAAGTAATGGCAAGCTGCAATATTTTAAATGTTTTTTGGGGTGTTTAATACCGTTTCAAAGGAAATGAAGAATGGCAGTGGGCAGGACAAGAGTAAAAGGAACATTTTATTGGTATACATCTTCTAATTTTATGGTATTTTTGCTCTGATTCTCCCAGAAAGTGTATTCTACCTGTCCCACACTTCTCTATATTTTTATAAAAAGTTTCATGTAGGTTTCTGATATCTGTTCCTAATTCTTCTGAAGGGGGCATGGAAAACAGCCAGGGAGGGACAACCCGATCACACCGAGGAGCTGTACTGAAGCCTTAGACTTCATAGGAGCCTTGCCAATCCTTCCCACATCTCACAATGCAGAGCCGATTCCTCTCAATACATCACTGAAGTACCCACAATCCATCCCCCAACATGGAGAAAAGATGACTTGCATACTGCAAAGTTCTTGGATTCATGGGCTCCTGGCACAATGGAGACAAACTGTTAAAAGCAGAAGCTTGACACCAACAACCTTCCACAACTGCCTAGCAATACCATTTTGTACATTTCCCCACTACAGTTTCTCCTTAAGACTATTTAGCACTTTCTAACCAGACAAAGAGGGAATTTCTCAAAACTTCTGATCAGATAATTACATTTTACACAACAAATATCTGCTATAATGACTGACCTCCTTCGCTTAGAGCACCCCAGCCTGTCACCCATATAGATTTGCCCACTGGGAAGACATGCGTGCTCTCGGGGATACAGATTGGTTGTATAAAATCAGTGTAGGTGACAGGACTCTCCAGCTCCAACATGGCGATATCATTGTCATAGGTGAAGTCATTGAACCCTCTGTTAGCCACGACACGTTTGATCTTGCGCATCACAACATCCTTGCTGCTGGTTTTTGTGGATTGATCATGTAGACCCAGATACGCTGTCCACACACTGGGGTCTGAATATCTGTTAAAAGAGATTTAATGTGAGGAATTTGATAATCATTGAACACTGTATATTATAGGCACCCTGGAAATTGTATTTTCTAAATAGCTGAATTTTAAAGGAGGATACTAGAGCCACATTTAAATAAAGACTCACAAGTATCACTAGACATAAAAGGTGAGATTTTTGTTCATACCGCACTGAATTTGAGTCCTGGAAGCAGTGAGCAGCGGACAGTAACATGGTAGGGGAGACCAGAGATGCGCCACATGTGTGTCCATCCTTCTTTGTCTGCAGGCTGACCTGCCACGGCCACTCGCCAACATCAGCATTTACACCACCCACAATCCTAGTCTTCCTGCTGTAAGGGCGTTTCCCACAGTCTTAAAAGAAAAAAAAAAACATTAATAAAACAGTAAGAGCAACTACAATAGAACATATTTGAAATGAATGCAAAATTTTAAGATTTTTATCTGTCACTCTGGTGTTTCCGGAGTGGGGCCAAACCGAGCTGTGCAAAAAACAAAAACACAATGCCTCTAGTCTAGTACATCAAGTGGTAACAATGGGGAAAGGGTAAATTAAGAAAAATAATTGCACTCACTTCGAAATTGCTCTGGTGACAAACATGAAAGATGTAGCAAATCTTTGATAACTATAGTGCATATGTACAAAGACCACAATAGTACACTGTATGAGAAAAACTTTAAATTGTAAAATCAATGGTTCCACTCAAATGTAGGCAAGCTGCCCCAAAGTAGATGCCTAGCCCCAATCCACAGCTTGGAGGACACCGCTGCCCCTACATCTCTGGTGGGTCATAGTTTTTCAGATCTTCTGCACTGGGAGAAAACTGTACCTGGAAAACAGCCTGTCCGCTGGCCACTGCAAGCAGTGTGAACATCACCCAGAGGCTATTTACAATCACATTGCTACTTTTCTACATGTGAGTGGAACCATTAATTTTACATGTATTTAGGTTTTTCTTATATAATATACTATTGCAGTACTGTTTTTAACCAGAGCAACTTTGAAGGCTTCTTACATGCTGAGCTTCAGGGTGCTGTTACCTTTGGTACAAACAAATGGCAACCACCCCAACCTATAACTGGCCTTTGCAGCAAGGAGCACATGGAAGAGTGGCACATGTCAACAACCAACAAAAATTCCCAGCTCACTTACCAGCCAGCAACAAACCAAATTAACCCTGTCTAATAGTTGGAATTAAAACCAAGGAGTTTAGTTGGCATACATTTGCAAATATATGCATAAGTTGCAGAGGCCATGTCATGGGACCCCAGTGTGCTGCAGTCCTAACTAAATTTTGAGTCTCCAAAGTTGGAGGACATATATATATAAAATAATGGATAGATTGAGGCAGGTATGCCTGGAGGGAGCCTGCCCCTCCTTAAAAGGTATAGGGAAGCACCAGACACCCAGCAATAGCACAATGGCAGCGAAGGTATCCAGTGCATCCCCTCACAATTCACCAACAGTACAAATAAATGGCAATCACCCCAACCGATAACTTGCCTTTGAAGGAGCACATGGAAAGACTATGCATGTCAAAAAACAATTCCCAGCTCACTTACCAGCCAGCCTGCAACAAACCAAATTAACCCTGTCTAACCGTGCACATTAAAACCAAGGGGTTTAGTGCGCACATTTTTGCACATAATGCACTAGGGGTGCACCCAATGTATTTTTTTTTTAATATTTTAACCACTTACCTACTGGGCACTTATACCCCCTTCCTGCCCAGGCCAATTTTCAGCTTTCAGAGCTGTCGCACTTTGAAAGACAATTGAGCGGTCATGCAACACTGCACTGAAATTTGTATAATGTTTTTCACACAAATAGAGCTTTCTTTTGATGGCATTTAATCGCCACTGGGTGTTTTTTAATTTTTGCACTATAAACAAAAAGAAGCAAAAAAAAAAAAAAAGTTTTTCTTTGTTTCTATTATAAAATTTTGTAAACAGGTAATCTTCTCCTTCATTGAGGTGCGTTGATGAGGCTGCAATGATGGTCACTGATGGGCGACACTGACATGCGGCGCCGACTGTCAGCCCTGATGGGTGGCACTGCTGGCCGAAACCGCTGGGGGGCACTGGTGGATGGCACTGCAGTGCACTGATCATCAGTGCCGATCTCCACTGACAGCGTGAGGAAAGTGCTACCGATAACCGGCAGCTGTATTTACTCCGTGATCTGCTGTGTCATTGAACACAGCTGATCACATGATAAAAGGCTGCTGCGATTGGCCCTTTTACCTCATCATGTGATCAGCTGTGTCTGTAGGACACAGCAATCACAGAGTTTGCTGGGAGGCGCGTTCTGGGAGGACATCATATGATGCCCTTCTAGAACTGGGTAACCACGCTGTAGCCATCATTTGGCTATAGAACAGTTACCAAGTGGTTAAAGTTGGTAAATTGGTTGAGGCCTGAACGTGACTGAGGAGACAAGCAATTTTAGAAACGAGAAATGCTGTAGTTTTTTCATATGGCTGTGACACTACTGATCTGTGAACTGCTTTAGACTTTTGTGCTTTAAATAGCCATAAATGGGAAAAACAGAACTAAATAATTACCCAGCCATGCCCAGTTGTAGCCACATACACCCTCTCCTTAACATTTGTAGTTATAGCAGGAACACACACACACACAGGATTTCACCAATTCTAGCACATCTTACACTGCTGGGTCATAGAAATAAGTGACCCTGTATATTTATGCCAGTGGATGTTGGCATGACTCTAAGAGCATGGCCCATACAAAGAAAATGAACAATCTCTTACCACACATAGTCTCATCAGAGCCATCTGTGCAGTCCGACACGCCATCACATTCTGGGTTCAGTTTGTTAATACATTGGTCGTTCTTACACTTATATGTGTACGTGGTACAGCTGGTGGCCTGAGCTGAATATGGACAAATTTGTTAGTTAATTGCAGATGGAAGGATTACTTTTAAATTACAGGAAATCAAGGAAAAGAACATAAAATGCATGTTTAACTGTGACATAAAATTCCCCATAATCCTTACAGTGTATGCAAATTAAGGGATGTAGGTGGGTTCTGCTTTGCACCACCCTCTTAGGATTTGTGTAAACCAACCTCATTTTATAGGATGGTTGCTTTTTTAAGCAATGATAAAAAAATGGAAGAAATTCAGTCATAAACGTATGTTCCTGTAGAGACACAGATCTGTGTCCTAGATGTGACAGAGGTCCAGTGGACATGATCTGGAGGTGCCCAAAACTCCATAGATATTGGCAAGATATTGATTCTCTTATAGCCTCTATTTTCCAGGTTAACTTAACAACAGAACCTAAAATATATATTCTTAACATGCCTGAGGAGTCTATCGCGTCCTCTGAGCTGGTCATCATGCCCCCAGATTGCTTTATATAGCATGGAAATTGATAATGCAAAAATGGATGTCGCCCAGCTCTCCCTCAGTAACAGAGTGGAAAAATCAAGTTAATAATGTAATCTCCAGAGAAAAACTGATATTTCAAAATAAAAGCTGTATTGAAAAATTCAAAGCTATATAGAACCCCTGGTTGGCAACACCAGGTTTGGGTCCATTCTATAGGATTGCAGAGAGTCTGCTCCCTATAAATGTGAGGGGTGTACTATATTGTAATAGTTGAAATTTACACATATGTAGATTGACACATGCAGCTTTACATTATTGGAGACAGACAGACTTAGGCCAACTTGTGCTGGTTTAGCCGTTTTATTGTCTTGCGTCTTGTTCACATCACACGTGCAGAAAAACTGGTGGAAACTGACACGCAGATTTCACTTGCGGAGACATCAGTTTTCATGCACGCTTCAATGAGTTTTATACATGTTGCAGATTCCTGTGCAGAAAAAACTCTTCATGTGATACCAGTGTGTTGTGGTGTGAACAGGACACAGAGAACAATTGATTTTGTTGTGCCCTTGCAGAGTGTGTGCAGAAAAACCTATGTCTCTGCAACATGGTGGGAACGAGCCCTTAAGACATATGTTCATACGGTGTATATTTTTGATTGGAAAGTTACTCTATATTTTATATACAATGGAAAAAAAAAAAAAAAAAAAAAAGACAATGGTAGGAATACTGATGTTCTTGGAAATGATATTGCAGCGCTGCTTTATGCTTATGGACTGACTAGGACATATATCTTAGTTACTGGTTGCTGCTTTGTCACTGTATGACCAATGTCATTCGATTAGTTTGTCATGAAAAAATTGTGTGTGCGTTTGTTTAAAAACAAAATGCAAAAAAAAAAAAAAATTATATATAATTTTTTTTCTTTTACAAAAATATAAAGTACTCAAAACACCTAAATTTTCCTTCTCCAAACTTTCATAAAATAGCATCTCAGCTCTCACCCAATCCACAATCGGACTCATCTGTGCCATCTCCGCAGTTGTCGGTGTTGTCGCACTTTTGTGCTTCTGGGATGCACTTTCCGTTTCTGCATTTTAAGAACTTGTCAGGGCACTCTGAAAAACAGACATCACGATTTAGCTTTAGAGATAACAGCTACAGTACATTACAGCAAGAACCTTACAAAAGGCAGCCAGAAACATCGCAGATACTTACTGCAGTCCTGCTCGTCTGAGTTATCGCCACAATCGTTCACGCCATCACAGAGGAAGAAACGCGGTTTGCAGTACTGGCTGGATTTGCAGCGGAACTGCTTGTCGGTGCAAGCTGGTTCAAAGTGGAGCAACAAAAACAAATCAATACACAATGGTGCACAATTAAAAATAAACATATGGGCAACCTAAACAAAACCATGTAGATGGAAAATGTGTTTGTATTATGATACAGGGTTAATAAAGTGTTTACAGTTTGCAGAGCAGTTTACAATATTAAGGGAGACTGTACAGTTAAAATACATACAATTCAAGATAAAGGGTTAGGAGGGCCCTGCTTGTGAAAGTTTGCAATCTATAAGGAAGGGGCAAGTGAACTACTGACTTCTGTAGTTAGGTGGAGGTGAGATGGGATTCCCTGAAGAGGTTAGTTTTCAAGTCTCGCCTAAAAGGCAGACAGTGTTGAAAATAGCTGGACATATTGGAGTAGGGGATTCCAGAGGATGGGAGAGGCTCTGGAGAAGTCCTGGATCCTGCATAAGAGAAAGTGATGAAACAAAACAGCTGGAGAGATGGAGATGACAGACTGGGTGATATTCTGAACGTGGTTGTTGATGTAGCTCAGGGCAGAGTTGTGAATGGCTTTGTATGACCTTGTTATTAGTATTCTGAATGTTTATATAAAACAGGAAAATGCAACGCTAAAAAAGGTCATAAAGGACGTGATCAGTAAGACATAAAATAAATAATCAATATATATAAAAATAGTAATAATGTAAAAATAGCTCAAAGTGCTGAGAAGATACAAAGTGTTTTGCGTCTAAATAAGGTGCAACCGAAGCAACCGAAGCAAGCCAATAATAATGCGTATATATATATATATATATATATATTATATATATATATATATATATATATATATACACACACACACACACACATACATATATATATATATTACACACACACACACACATATACAATGTATCACACAAGTGCGATGAAACACAGATGGAATAATTCAAGGCAGGATATAATCAAATTAGTATTCTGAATTTTATTTGTTGGACAATTGAAAGCCAGTGGAGGGATTGGCAAGAGGGGTGGCAGACACTGAAGGGCTTTTGTTTAGGTGAACGAGTCTGGCAGCAGACTTCATAACAGACTGAAGGGATGATAGGCCAACAAAGGAGAGAGTTGCAAATAGTAAAGGTGAGAGATAACAATGGAGTAAATTAGTAGTTTGTTTGTGTCATTGATTAAGAAAGGGTGTATTTTTTTAACGTGATGATGGCAAAATTTGGACAGATCTTGCACGTGAGGCTGAGAGATTTTTTTCAGAGTCCAGGAATAAATCTAGCATCCTGGCATGCAGAGAGGGACTGAGCGTTGTGATCTCAATGGAACAATCAGGGGATGAAATATCATAAGATCAGTTTTGGTAAGGCTGAAGAAATGGTGTGAACATCCATATTGATATGTTATGTTAGCAAATATATGATACGTGGCAGAAACTGAAGGGGTGATCTGAGGAGCAGAGAGATAGATTTCGGTGCGGTCAGCAAAGGAATGGTACTGGAAGTCATGAGAGGTTATTAACTGACCAAGGGAAAGCCTTCTTCAATTGATAACCATGCAGTATAGCATGTGGAACTTGAATTTTTAAATTTTAAGTGTGATATCTGCAACCCTCACCATACAGACCCTTGGGGCAGAGTTTCCCATATGTGAATAGTTCAGCTCTACTCACCACATGACGCCTCATCACTGTTGTCCCCACAATCATTCCATCCATCGCACTGCCGAGTTTATCTTATATCTATAGCGGCCACTCTTACAGGTGAACTGATCAGGACAAGCTGCAGGAAACACAAATCAATCAGAATGATAATCAGATCTCTAGAATACAAAACATTGAAACTGAAATCTTTTCTACTTCTGGGGAAAGATGTGCTCACAACATAGCCCAGACATTTGTGGGCCTGAACCTTTGTACAAACTGGCAGCAATTACATTCAGCACAGCTGTTAAAAAAAATATAATAAAAGGCATGGGCTGATCAGACAGAGTGCTGAATGGATTAAAGCTGTTGCATGCCACAGTTAGCCTCAGACAATCCACCATGGAATGGATTATGTTTATTAAGTTCTAGAAACTGGTTTTATTTATTTTCAGAATAGGAGTATACAGCCAGATGTTTCCAACAAACTTGGCTGCTCAAAAATTAATGATTTTTTGTCCCTATATGTATCGGATTTTGACACTTTTAACGCTCATAATTTATTGGCACATAATAATTCCATATCTGCCCTTAGGACAGACCTAAAGTTAATCACTAACTTTTTTTTTTTTTTTTTTTTTTTTTTTTTTTTTTTTTTTTTTTTTTTTTTTTTTTTTTTTTTTTTTTTTTTTTTTTTTTTTTTTTTTTTTTTTTTTTTTTTTTTTTTTTTTTTTTTTTTTTTTTTTTTTTTTTTTTTTTTTTTTTTTTTTTTTTTTTTTTTTTTTTTTTTTTTTTTTTTTTTTTTTTTTTTTTTTTTTTTTTTTTTTTTTTTTTTTTTTTTTTTTTTTTTTTTTTTTTTTTTTTTTTTTTTTTTTTTTTTTTTTTTTTTTTTTTTTTTTTTTTTTTTTTTTTTTTTTTTTTTTTTTTTTTTTTTTTTTTTTTTTTTTTTTTTTTTTTTTTTTTTTTTTTTTTTTTTTTTTTTTTTTTTTTTTTTTTTTTTTTTTTTTTTTTTTTTTTTTTTTTTTTTTTTTTTTTTTTTTTTTTTTTTTTTTTTTTTTTTTTTTTTTTTTTTTTTTTTTTTTTTTTTTTTTTTTTTTTTTTTTTTTTTTTTTTTTTTTTTTTTTTTTTTTTTTTTTTTTTTTTTTTTTTTTTTTTTTTTTTTTTTTTTTTTTTTTTTTTTTTTTTTTTTTTTTTTTTTTTTTTTTTTTTTTTTTTTTTTATTTTTTTTTTTTTTTTTTTTTTTTTTTTTTTTTTATTTTTATTTTTTTTTTTTTTTTTTTTTTTTTTTTTTTTTTTTTTTTTTTTTTTATTTTTTATTTTTTTTTATATTTTTCACCCAGAATTATTCCTTACAATACTAAAAAGACTGCAAAGTCCTCTAACTCCCCTGCGTCTCCTTCCTTGGACCTCTAATTATACCCCCCAACACTTCCCCCAGGACTCCCCAGACACACATCTGGCTTCACAAAATCATAGCACTGCATACTGTAGTCCATCATATTCCACCCCTTTTCCCCTATAACTTCATTTGTATGATCCCTCTGCACCTTAGTCCTAGATGTATAAAACCTTGGTGTACTCACGGTTCTTCGGCTCATAGGACAGGTACTGCGCTGTGAATCCAGTGTCTGTGTAGGCTTGATCAGAGCGGAACTTCACCACGATTCTGCTGCTGTTGTTTGAAACAACAAATGGTGAGCGTTCTCCGCAGTATCTGTGGAAGAGAGCAGGGAAGGATCAGGCCATGATAGAAGAACACAGAACTGAGTAGAGGCCGGTAAAGGGTTGGGTATAAGTCAGACTAATCAGGGTGCAGTTCAGCTTGCAGTACAATAAATGTTGCATTACATTTCAAAAAATCACGCCATTCTTTAGCATGTTAAAGCAGAGCTCCAGGCAAATACACACCTAGGAATACATGTATAGGACTGTTAAGCATGCCCAAGTATTTTTACATCTGTTCAACCTGTCTAATTCACACAGCATCATCATCACACTGTGGTTTACCTGTCCGGTGAGGAGGCAAGAGACACATGTAAAGCGGCAGCAGTATCACTTTTGGCAGGGGAGTGTAAAATCATAGGACTGGCTGAATGCAATCACAAATCCATTGTCCTAGACTAGTTAACATGCAGAGGTTGCAAGGAAGTCATTTTTGCTCATGTTCTAACATGGCAGCAGTCTCTAACAGTCTCTTGTAATCCACTATCATTCACTTGTGTAATGTGAAAACTGTCTGTACCTCAGCAGGCTCTTTGTAATCTGTCTGCTGTCTTGTAATAGGACTGGGTTCTGCAAATGTGTAACAAGTTCCCTAAGTGAAGACATTTACATTCTGCACAGTCATACCAACTTACCCTCCAGCTGCTACAAAACTGCTTCTCCCAATTTGATACCCGTTTGGGTGCAGGTCCCTCAATGCAGACACTGCGAGTTCAGAGACCCACACCTGCACACACCTGAACCCAAACGTGTCAAATTAGGAGCAGCAACTGTGTCCGTGCAGCTGCTGCATCTCAAATGACACTACTTGCATGGGGATGCATGGAAGACTTGTGTATTCCAGTAGGGCAAGCACAGCCCTCTCATGGATGCATGCCTTTTTTATGCCCGTGTGAACAAGGCTTTACAGGCAAGCAGCCAGATTAGCAATGTTACACACAAGCCTATGGAAGCCACATGGCCTCTCACCTCTGATTATTGACCTCCACATAGTCATTGGGACAGCTGCTGATGGACACACCCGGCTCATAAAGGTAAAACAACTGAAACCGAATTTTCACATACATGTCTCCAGGAACCTGTGAATAAAACAAAGTCAGAATAAACATTCAATGCTGATCACACTTCAAATGACCTCTGAATGGCTGAATACACAGACTTAGCTTGTGGCTTCATGTAACAATGACAGTATAATGCTGGAAGGGAGCAGAGAGTATACAGGAGCTCAAAACTGGTCCTTACTGGCCTTTAAAACACCAAAAAAAAAAGAATCATAATTTAAAGTGTTTGATCTTCCTATATTTTGCCCTCCCTTTACCCAATCATCATGCTAGTGAAACTTCTAAATAAAACCTTTCCATTTTCACTACACAGTTTATTTTACACACAGTGATATAATCACTGGGTCTCAATGATTTTCTATGCAAGGCATGGCTGGCGGGAGTGGCCAGCAGGGTGTTGTACGTAGCTGAAAGTAGAATGCCAGCTAAAAACTAATCTTACAAAATGCTCCAGCCCCTTCTAATATATATGCAGACTAATCCATGTGAAAAGATGTATATACTTACCTATTCTCAGCCTGCTGTGGTCTGATCCCCTGTGTCAGATAGAGGGGCTGCTGAAGCCTGGGGAGTGATGACATCACTCATAGGCTCCCAGAGTGCAGCCAAGGTTGGGGCGCCTTCCTCTCCCATGCAGCCACCCCTGGCTGGCACAAGGGAATTGGATCACATGATTGGACCACAGCAGCCTGAAAATAGGTAAGTATATACATCCTTGTTACACAGGTCAGTTAGCATAGGTGGTAGGAGGGGGGGGGGCAAGCATTTTAAAGACTAGTTTGGCTTTAGCTGGAATTCTACTTTAATGATGACATCACAGCAACCTGCCTCAGTATTCCTCTCGGGATGCCTTAGACCTGATGCAAGTAATGTGTTGGCTTTTGGGAGGAGTTATGCAAATATCAAAACATTTTAATAGCTGGATGTCAGTCTGGAGAGGTGGGTGTTCCTTGGCAGGCTATATTTGCATGCAGAAAATCCTAGACAATGCCCAACTGTGATGCTGTACCTCCATGATTGAAAGAATTGAAATCCAATGAATGAAAGGAGCGGGCTAGGGAAAGTCAATCTGGGGAGGAAAGAGCTGGATGATGTTGGATTTCCTCCAGGTAGAAAATAGAGATGGGGAGGGGGTTCTATCACACTTGCTAAAGCTTCTAATGCACATTGTGAGAAGCTCACAGTGTGCAGTAAAATCAGAGTAAGCAATTTCAGTACAGGAGGGGAGCCTGTGCAGCTGTGCAAGACTGAAGGGAAGGCTGGAGTGTAGCTTGAAAGAAGCAAAAACAGAATGAACAGAGTGCATGTAACCCAATCCCAGCTCACATTAGTAATGGCTTCTGTTAAACTTGCTTCTCTCTACAGATGGCAGTGTCACCATAAGGTTCTGTCACAGTACACTATCCCTACAGCTAAGGTAAGCAGACGTGTGCCCAGAGACAGGAGAGCAGAGCCATAGACACTAATGAATCAAAGACATCTCTGGCATCATGTGAATCCCCTGCAAAAGGTCAATTTATAATTTGTTAGATTGTTATTTGTCCTCTTTTTTTTTCCATGAGACGTTTTGACCGTTTTCCTATATATAAAGCCGCTGTGGGCGATTTCTCTGCTTGCGGTTGTCTAAGGTGGCTATGTTGTAAAAAAACTCTTTAGGACATATGTCACCAAATATAAAAAATGTCCCCTCAGAAAGATTAAATTTTTTTTCCCTGCCTGGCTCTTCAGTTATTCACCGATAGCTCTACTTTTTATCATTTAATATAATGCAGCCTTCCAATAAATCTTACCAATGACTCTGGTCTCTGCGTGTATAGTGTATCCTAGATGTACGAGGTGTGACATTTTAATGCCTGCCGTGAAGCACTATGGTGGTGAGTCGCACAGCCATTCACACTCAAGAGTGTTCTGAAATGTTCTAACTTGCCTCGGTCACAGACCGGTTGACTTAGTCTTTAAAGGGTCACTAAACCTTGGACCCTGCCTTTGCTCTGTCTGGTCTCCCACATTGCACAGAACATGGAAGTGCAATTATTTCAGTAAATATAAACCGCTAAATACCTTTTCTCACCTGGGGCAGGTGCACATTAGGGAGCCCACCCCTCTTAAAGGCACAGGAGCAAAAAGAACACCCGGTATGTAGCACCATGCAAATGTAATGTGTGCTAACTAAACCCCTGCTTTTAACGCATACTGTTAGACAGGTCAATTTGGTTGTTAGCAAGCTGGCTCGCGAGTTGATTTATGAACACTTTTTTTATTTTTTCCTTTACTGACATGCATCGCCCGGTTCACGTAATCCTTGCATTATAGCCAGTCATAGACCGGGGCAGGTGCCATGTTTTTCCTTCACCATTAGTTTTTAGGCCCGTGGGTGCACTGAGCACCCTGGCTGCCATTGTGTTACATGCCAGGTGTTCTTTTCGCTCCTGTGCCTTTAAGAGGGGTGGGCTCCCTAATGGCACCTGCCCCAGGTCTATTTATTAAATGCATGTGCCTCTACTATGGGGACTCAAATTTATTGAGTTAGGAACCACAGATTACCAGGGTGCCTTGATGTGGCTCTGTGGCTTGCGTATGTATTTGCAAATGTGTGCTAACTAAACCCCTGCTTTTAACGCATACTGTTAGACAGGTCAATTTGGTTGTTAGCAAGCTCGCGAGTTGATTTATGAACACTTTTTTATTTTTTCCTTTACTGGCATGCGTCTCCCGGTTCACGTAATCCTTGCATTATAGCCAGTCATAGACTGGGGCAGGTGCCATGTTTTTCCTTTACTGCATATACAGACTGATTTTACTGTTGTGAGTTTAGTAACACTTTAAGGAGTATAAAAATCAACACGTGTGTGCGTTGCGTTGTTGGAGGAAACTGAGTGACAGGAATCTGGAGTAGTGGATTAACATCATAAGAAAATTGCCCAAAGTGCTAGTGAGCCTGTAACAACAGGCTTACGGTGAACATTTTGTGAGGAAATCAAGTCTTTTTGAATGGTATAGGAGGTTTAAAGAGGGGCAGGAAGATGTCCACGATGACGCATGACGGTCAGCCAGCACTGTTAATTAAAAATTCTGAAAAGTTTACACAATTTGTTAGAGGAAAAGACCGGAACTCTGGCCTGACAAGTGGATTCTCCAAGCGCATTCTCCAGCATGACAGTGCTCCTGCATATGATGTGTTAAGTGTTTGCGAGTTCCTGGCCCAGAAATCCATTTTGAAACTTGACCAACCACCTTATTCCACTGACTTTGCGCCCTGCAATTTTTGACATTTTCCAAAATGCCTGAAAAGGACACAGATATGATGACATTCTGGACATCCAGCATGCCATGACAAAGATACTGTGCAGTTTTCCAGGAAAACGAATTCCAGGAATGTTTCCGGCAGTGGCACAATAGAAAAGTGCATCAGTTCAAAAGGGGGCTACTTTGAAGGTGACAACAGTCACTAGTGTATAAGTAAGCAAATATATTTTTTACATTGCATTCCTGGAAATAAATGGCCACACCTCGTACATGGAAGAGGACAGATATGCTGATTACACAGGCAGGAACTACAGAATATCGGGGTGCCGTGACGAGGCTCTGTAGCTTACGTATGTATTTGCAAAAGTATGCTAACTAAACCCCTGTTTTTAATGCATACTGTTAGACAGGTTAATTCGGTTTGTTTGCAGGCTGGCTGGGAACTTAGAGCTGGGAATTTTTCTCTTTCGTTGTTTGACAATAAGTGCTCCTTGCTGTGAAGGCCAGTTATAGACTGGGGCAGTGGCCATTTTTTGTACTGTTGAATTTTTGGTGAGGGAGTGCACAGGACACCTTAGCTGCCATTGTGCTACATGCTAGGTGTCCAGTGCGCTCCTGTAACTTTGAGGGGTGGGCTCCCTCAGGTCCATCTGCCCTTGGTCTATCCATTAAATCCATGTGCCTCTACTATGATGGCTCTTAAAATTGGAGCGTTAGGACTACAGAATACTGGGGTGCCATGACGAGGCTCTGTAGCTTTCACATGTATTTGCAAATGTGTGCTAACTAAACCCGTTTTTAACGCATACCGTTAGGTTAATTAGGTTTGTTTGCAGGCTGGTTGGCAAGTTAGAGCTGGGAATTTGTATTTTTTGTTGTTAGGATGTGCTTCCTGCCTGTAGTGTTGTGCAGTGATTAAGCACTACTGTTCCCCTCTGAGAAAGTCTGTGGCGCAGAAGTGATCGAAAAAAAAAGAAAAAAAACAAAACAAAACATGGTCTTATCTCAATGATGGCTAACTGGAATATATCAGACAGAAATAGAGTAGCTGAATGCAGCCTGAAGGTGTGGGTCCTGTGGCCACAATGCTTATCTTCACTTCACTGCGGTCAAACCATTCATGTGCATATCAGGTGTCTAAATACTTCACTGGCTGTTTGCTTGTTGCAGGTCAGCAACTCACAAAAGTAGGAACTCAAGACCTTCAAAGAAGAAGTCAGGGCCCTCTTCTCTTGGTCCTGATCCCTTCTACTAAGATATACTGGTGTCCACCAAAGGGAGCAATTACATATCTGCATGTGAAAGTGTGAAATAAATAGGGAACAGCAAGAAAGTGAAGTGTGAAAATCAAAAATGGCTTTCAAGGAACGGTCTGTACAAAATGTGCACTGACTGGAGAGACAACATTTCTCCTTTCAGAGTATTAATACTATAGTTACTATACTAGTAAATGTTATACTCTGTGTGTGTGTTGGCAGTGTGAATATTTTCCTTATACATCTATGTACAGACTTGACTCACCTGGATGTCCCAAAAGCACTCTCTGTTGGGGGGGTAGTGTGCAGGGTAGAACGGCGTGCTGATCATTCCGCTGGCATCCCGAAGCATTCCTCCACAGACTGCAAGGAAATCAGAAGACGCATTAGGAGCCCGGAGATGATTCAGATTCCATATGTCTCCTATAAACTTCAATTTGTAATTTAGTAGAACTTCCCTTACAGTTTCAACTTTCAACCTGCAAACTTGATATTTAGCAAGTTCACCACCACCCCATGTCTGTTGATTTACCAATCTATACATTTCTTACTCTACACACCCTGGGAGCTTTTTATCAGAATAATGCTGGCAATGGTGAGCAGTGATTGGTCAGCACAGTCACGTCACTTTCTCTCTTTTTTCTTTTCAGGACACATTTTAAACGGTCATGTGACTGCGCTGAGCAATCACCTCTCACCATTGCTGGCATTATTCTCATAAACAGCCCCTCTGGGTGAAGTGAGAAGTGTATGCAATGGTAAATTGGCAGATGTGGGCAACAGTGAACTTGCCAAGCAGAAATGAAGTGCAGCAGGGACCAGAGGAGTAAGGATGGTGTTGAGAGGTAACTTAACATTTAAGTTCTGTCCCAGTATGATGAATGAGGTACAAACACAGAATCCAGCTGCACTTCAGTAACGGTAAAGCTTTATTGTCGTGAATACCCCACAAGGTCCACTCAGAGCCACTGCACATTGACGCATTTCACCCGCCAAGGATTTAAAATTGTAGAGGTTGTAAGAAATAGAAACCTTGCCAGGCGAATTGTGTTAACACATAATGTGCCAGCTATGAAGATCAAACTTACGTGTTGTTTTTGGGATCTGGTAAAATTCCGCCATGAATCCAGGATGTTTTTCTTTGTCATCTGATACCAGAGTCACCAACATGACATTCTGCGAGGAGACAAAGGTGAGGTTGTAGGAGGGTGGATAACTGCCGCATAGCCTGCAACAAAAATCACTTCAGTAAGCAGACTGATAACCTTCCACAATATTAAACAAGCAATATTGTATGTAATCTACAAGCAAACATATGTAACAAATGTGAAAAACATTTGACCTCCCTGAATAACAAGTTGGATACTGTGGATAAAAGGTATATAATTGTATTCTATAATTTGTCCTGTTTTTAATGACACTAAAATTACATTTCTGGTTCAAAATATGGCAAACGTATTTAAAATGAAGGCTTTCCCTATCACACAAGTGCTGAGACATGTAGACTATGAATGGGCACTTTGGTTTTTGTACTGGAGCTGCTAGGTGGTGTGGGCAAGCACAAGAGCAAACCAGAAAACAGGATCAGCTCTGATGAAGGGAACAATGAAACACGGTGGTTGTAGCATCTGCTATGTGTTTGGAATAAAACCAGGTTTTGGGCTCTAACCATCAGTGTGGCGCTTTGATTTTTACATTCACACAGTCTGAGGACACTCTTCCAGTTCCTCAGTTTACAAGAGCAGCCCATTTATCATCCAGACACCCCAAAGGGATACCACCAGTACATTTTGAGACAAATATTTTAATTAGTACCCAAGTATATCCACCCTAAGGTTCCAGTGCCATCAGTCTACTACTTCAAGGTGCTGTGCACAGGCAGCTCAAGTAAATCAATTGGGACTCATTGGCTGTATAGACACAGCTGCTCATCCTAATTTGACAGGCGTGCAGGTGAGAGTGAGCAATGCTCAACACAAATTATGTGCATTTGAGGTGTCTGGTATTCGTTCACCTACACTTAAATACCTAAGGTTAGTTGACTCACCCTCCCACCCCTGTAGCTGTAATCTTCCGGTGCTGCAGGGGATAATACAAACCAAGGGACCTATGACAGGTTCTCCTCAGGATTGTCAACTATGCGCACCATTTTAGCCCCCCTCCTCCATTCACAGAAACTGTACTATAGCTTCCATCAATAAAATATGCTCTTTGAATGGAGGATGGGTGGATGAACTAGAGGTCTACCTCCTCCATTCACAGAGTGCTTTTCATTATTGGAAGGTATAGCCGTTTTCTATGAATGGGAGTTTTTTTTTCTCCAATTTGACTGCAAAAGGCAGAAATACACTTTAAGTGTTTGAAAAATAAATAAAGTGAAGATGATTCTAGAAGTGTGCGGAGGATTTCCTGCACTCACTTTGTCATGATTCGTGGCTGCACGGCAGTCAGGGAATCATAAATGTTCACATAATCTCCTTTGGAAACTTTGCAGCTCTCCATCTTGAAGGTTTTGAAATGAAGAAGGATCATGTGACCGGCATCAGCTCGCAGCTCCCACTGGCAGCGAGAATTGGGTGGATATGAAGAATGTGGGAATCCAGGGCTGGAGAATTTTGTTGCAGATCCAGCCGTGGAGTGCAGAAAAAACATACATTTGTCTGGAGGAAACAAGAAAATTTTCACAAAATAAATAATATATATTGATACACAGTGACAAGTTTCTAGATAAATGTAAAAATGGGTATGTTCACACAGCTATTGTTTATGGGGTTGTAACAGAGTGAACACACACATGGAACCTTTAAATGAATCTGGCTGAATGCTCCAGTATATTATATCAGGAGTGAGCAGGCAGTATAGAGGAGGCCTGGCAGGTCATTGCTTTTTATTGACTTTGTAAAGAAAACCTACAAAACCCATTTCAAGGAAACATGTAGGATTTCAGTTCACAATTGTTGGACTTGTTCCCAGTAAAGGAAAATAAATATTACACTTACTGTCTCGAAAGTTTTTGGCCATCAAAGGATCGGTAGCTGAAAAAGCAAGCAGAAAAGGGGTAAAATTATAATATGTGTTCACACTTACTGAGATTTGCAGAGGCAGGAGAGATTATCGACATTCAAAATGATTCATAGGGGTAGAAGTAAGATTGAAGAATTATTGTAATACACTTACTGGCCAGTAGGGGGTGCAAGCTTAAAGCTGACAATTATGAGCGTGCATGAAGAGGGTCTATATGGGAAGTCAGTACAATGCTGTAGGAATACTATGATATTGGAAATTATAGAACCATACCAGGGGTGGACTGACCATTTGGAAACTCGGGCACTGCCCGAGGGCCCAGGGTCATTAGGGGGCCCCATGAGATGCCCCTGGTACCTTTTCCATAGGCTTTTTTGAGTTTGGCCAAGGACACAGGGGCCCCATGATCCCCTATTGGCCAGGGGCCCCATGAGTTGTCAGTCCACCCCTGAACCATACTATACACAACAGTCCATACTAATCCATACAAATCAACAACATCCACAGCAAGGTGCTAGCAGTACTGAATTCACATCTCTCTGTTTTTGGGGTTCATCCAGTTATTTAATTTCCTAGTCTCTAGTGGGTTAGTCAGCTTCACCCATTTTGGTCCTTTAGTGACAGAATTTGTGTGGCTGTGATGGGACATTAGAGCGTAAGCTCCTCTGTTACAGAGACTGCTGTTCTCAGTATAGCATTGCAAAAGATGTCTGAGCTATATAAAGCAAATTAATAATAGTAATCCTAGACTGATTCGGAGGGAGGGGGGAAGGGGGGGGGGGGGGGGGGGGGGGGGGGGGGGGGGGGGGGGGGGGGGGGGGGAGAGACATTAGAGCGTAAGCTCCTTTGGTGTAAATACTGCTGTGAGTGGCTGAATGTTTTCTGCACATGACTGTGGAATACAGTATGTTAGTGTTCTATAAATGTATAATAGTGCAACTGTGGTGGAAAATTTGAGTATAAACTGCTTTGGTTCAGAGACTGAAATGAATGGTTCAGCGTTCTCTGTACAGCACTGTGGAATATATCACAGCTAAATAAATACATAACAGTGTGTGACTGTGGTGGGACATTAGATTGTAAGCTCTTCTGGTGTATTGATGGTGAGACTGGTACAGTGGATTCTATGAAGCACTTTTTGGATGCTGGCAGCACATGTCTGTTAAAGAAGGACGTTACTTACGATAAGCCACAAAGGAATCCACGGACAGGGCGACTTTTTGACGAAGAGTGACAGTTTGCACTTTCAGCGCAGACATGGCCGCATCCAGATCGGCCTCCAGATATGTTGGCACAGAAAATTCAGACCAGTAGTAGCTGATGACGCTGCCCTCACTGTATGAACAATGGAAAGTACAAGGTATTACTATGAATGGTATCACAATGCAGCAGATTACAGTATGGAGGACTTTAAGATGCATTGAGAGTCATTCCTCTTCCACAGACCCACACACACTGCATCAGGAGCACCTTCCATGGGTGTATGAACCTTGAAGGGAAACATCCTCAGAAGTGGAATGAGAGTCACCAAGAGATCTGCAGCACAATACATCAGAAAGTAGTGCTGGGAGAAGGGTGTGTTTCCGATTTGTAGTGATCTCCGATATCACTTCTACAATCCCTAAACTCGGTTTTACTGTCCAAGATCGCAGCAAAAATACACTTCTAATGATTCACTTGCAACACAATGAGGCATTTGCAACGCATTCCTGGCACTGTCTGTATAGTCAAAAGCCTTGCACCAAATATATGAACATTCTGCAACATTTTCATTCTTAGTACCATTGCATGCAACTATATCAAGTTGTTCTCGTTTACGCTACGCTGCTAAAACTGCAACAAATTCATTGGAATTTCGCCATATCAGTGATAAGGAAAATGGAAGCAAGACCTTTCCCATTCTGGAGTAAACTGTGTTGCATCTTTGAGATAATTCTCTAACAAAATGTATCTTTAAGCTCCTCTGGTACTAATATTTGATGTGTCTCCATTACTATCCCAACTTCTACAAATAGTTTCTCTTGCCTGTAAACGTCTCCACTATGCAGGAGAGGTGCCTGTGACAGTTCTGTCAGAGTTGTGTCAGTCCCACATACACCTTACCAACATGTCTATGAATCTGTGGCAGATTCAAACATTTCTTCCATTGCTGTGTGACAGATTTCTACCGAGTATCTGCAACAGGGACTGTCTCCAATAGCGGAACATTTATACTAAAATCTCTTTATTACAAAATACACTCTACACACAGTGAAAGGAACCACAAAGACAGACAATTTACATCACCTAAATGCAGTCACATTGCATTGGACAAAGTGCGGACCAATTGCTGGATTGGTTTGGTATGTTTTCTGCAACTGTAGAGAGAATATGAGAAAATGATTGAGAATATGATCGGATCACACAAACACAAACTAGAGCAAGTAACAGCACTAGAGTCGATGTAAAGATATAGATATGTCATGACTGCACTGGCATCTACTTCCATTGGCTGTAACTGACATCATTAGGCTGTCAATTACAAAGCCTGGACCACCAACCTCCTGGATATCGCTGAAAGCCTGCCAGTGACTGGGGACTTTGGTGCGCTATGCATGCGAAGCCCACCTGTATGCATACAGAGATTCCCTGCTTTCCAAAGGTTGAAGTTTTGGGCTGACCTGAGGTCTAAAGCACATGCACTGGGGCTGATATGAGATCAGAAATGCATGCATTTTTGGGCTTTTCTGAAGTGCATGCATGGGGGCTGATCGGAGGTCTGAAGTACATGCATCGGGGATAATCTGAGCAAAAACATAAACTAATGTCAATGTACAAATAAATCTCATGTGATAACTGCACTGGCATCTGAAGAACAAGCATTTTGGGGCTGATCGGAGGTCAGAAGAAGTGCATGCACTGGGGCTGATCTGAGATCTAAAGCACACGTATTGAGACGGATTTGAGATCTGAAGTACAAGCATTTTGCGGCTTATTTGAGGTCTGAAGCACATGCATTGGGGCTTATATGAGGTCTAAATTACATGCATATTCAGATTGATTTGAGGTCTGAGGTGTATGCATTGGGGCTGATCTGAGGTCTGAAATACATGCATTGGGGATAATATGAACAAGAACACAAACTAGAGCAAACACCATTATTGCCAATATACAGATATCTCATGTGACGACTTTGCAATGGCATCTGATATACAAGCATTTGTCTAATGCAAGCATTTGTCTAATCTGAGGTCTGGAGTGCATAATCTGAGGTCTGGAGTGCATGCACTGGGGCTAATCTGGTCTGGAGTGCATGCACTGGGGCTAATCTGAGGTCTGCACTGGGGCTAATCTGAGGTCTGGAGTGCATGCATGGGGCTAATCTGAGGGCATGCACTGGGGCTAATCTGAGGTTGCATTGCAGTGGAACAGGTTTTGTGTGTGCACCTTGTAATCAGCTTTTCCACTCACAGTTGTACTTCTAATGACAAGTTAAACCTATTATATAATAATGGAGTTTAACCTGTCATTAGCAGTACAACTGTACGTGCAAAAAATGTTAAACGATCTAAAGATGACCACATGCTGGTATAATTTCAAAATGATGAAAAATATTCAGTTTCAGAACATTTGTTCGATTTTCTAATGGTTTGTGTGGTCAAATCAATACACATTTTTTGAACATAGTGAGAAGAAAATTCGAAGGAGCAGGATGGAATTTTTTTTTTAGAACAAGCAAAATTCTGTGAATGTATAAAAAAAAAAAAAAAAAAAAAAACATGTAGAACGTTCATACAAAATTCTACAAGTGTATGACCAGCTAAGGTGCTACTGTTCCCTGGCACACCAGTCATCTAATGCTGATGAACATGACACTTTAAGGTTGCTGACCCCTGACTTCGACCATCCTGCCCAATATCCTCTCATACTTTTTTATACAAAACAGACCTGAACCATTTCATAAAAAGCCCCGCTCTTTGCAAAAAAAAAAAAATTATTATTTTAGTTTCCTCCTGGCTTGCTCGTTAGAAGAAAATAATTTTAAATATATTATATGGATGATAATTTACAAAACCCAGTGCTTGATATATTCTCTACAGGCTTTTTCATCCTATGAGGTATTAAATCCCAATGAAACATCAGAAAAGGGATGTCTGACAAACTGGAAGTGCCATGGTGGCTATTTTAGAAAAGGTTTTATTTTTTGCATCCATTACTTGTGATAAATGTAAGCAGATTATGAAGGTAAATAAAGTGTTTTATATAATACTGTATATTGCTGCACTATGGTCCCTCTGCTTTAAACTTGCGAAAACCCTGAGTATATGGGGACATCATGAGTGTGTGGGATGTTGGATATATGAAGACACAGAGTGGACCACAGAATCCATATATGCATGTTTATGCTCAAATTTGGAAAAATGCATAATCTAAAGGGTGAAGTGTGG